GTTAGTTAGTAAATTGCAGTGTCATACATGCCAATTGAGCAAACATTGTAGAAATTCCTTTCCTTTAAGAAATAAAAGATCTGAATTTCCTTTTCATATTGTCTATTCTGATGTTTGGGGCCCTATTTCTCTACCTACTGAGACTGGATATAAATATTTCATTACTTTGATCAATGACTACTCTATATATACTTGGGTGTATCCTATGCAATCTAGAGATGAAGTGCCAAAGATTGTGAAAAACTTTCAACGAATGATTTTCACTCAATTTCAAACTGAAATTCACATTTTCCAGTCGGACAATGCAAAAGAGTACTTCCATAGTGATCTCACAGAGTTCTTTGCTTCGTGTGGATCTCTTCATCGAAGCTCTTGTGCCAGGACACCTCAACAAAACGATGTTGCTGAAAGGAAAAATCGTTATCTACTTGAGGTAGCTCTTGGTTTATTACTTCATATGAATGTTCCGAAACGTTTTTGGATGGATGCTGTTATGTGTGCTGCATATATCATCAACTGTTGTCCCCTATTCTAATGCGTGTCTTCGGGTGTCGTTGCTTCGTTCATGACTTGTCTCCTACTCGCGGTAAACTCGATCCCCGTGCTACTCCTTGTGTTTTTCTTGGTTATCCGTTATCGCAAAAGGGTTACCGCTGCTATAATACTGCTTCACGCAAGTACTATGTCTCCATGGATGTATTGTTCTTTGAGAGTCAACCCTTCTTCTCGGTTTCTCCTCAGGGGGAGAGTAGGGTTGAGGAGAAACACACTCAAGTTCAACTACCTCCTCTTCCCGACCCTTCTCCATTTCGGGTCTTTCTTTGCCGCCATAAGAGCCAACAGAGTTCAAGAGCCGTGGAACCCAAAACTATGCAACCAATATCATCGGACTCTACATAGGTAGATCCTCCTCATCATCCAGGTACACTTGTTCCCATTGATATGCCTAAATCTCTTAACATTGATCCTCCTGTTGTTAATGATCTTGATGTTCCTATTGTTAAGAGAAAGGGTGTTAGGTCTTGTACTACTAATCATCCTATCTCTCACTTTGTGTCCTATGATCATATTTCACCTTCATACTATGCATTCCTTTCCTCTATTGACAGCGTCTCTATTCCTAAGAATGTAGTAGAAGCTTTATCCAAACTTGAATGGACAGATGCAATGAAGGAAAAAATTAATGCCTTACACAAAAATGGCACCTGGGAGTTAGTGGATCTTCCTGAAGGGAAGGAACCAGTGGGTTGCAAGTGGGTATTCACATTTAAGTATAGAGCTGATGGTTTAGTAGAAAGATACAAAGCTAGATTGGTGGCCAAAGGGTTTATACAAGTGTATGGAGTAGACTATGCAGAGACCTTTACTCCAGTAGCCAAGATGAATTCAATTAGAATCCTCCTCTCACTAGCAGCTAACCTTGATTGGGAACTTCATCTGTTGCATGCTTGAATGGTGACCTAGAGGAAGAGGTTTACATGACTCAACCTCTAGGTTGCTGAGCCAAAGGTAGTGAGCAGAAGGTGTGCAAATTAAAAAAATCTTTGTATGGGTTAAAGCAATCACCTCGGGCCTAGTTTAGTAGGTTTCATTTAGCAGTGCAACAGATGGGATTCAAACAATGCCAGTCAGATCATACTTTATTTGTGAAAAAAGGTGAAGGGAAAATTGCATCTTTAATTGTCTATGTTGATGACATAGTAATCACAGGAGACTAGAAGACTGAAATACAGAAGCTGAAGAAATTCCTAGCCACTCAATTTGAGGTGAAAGATCTAGGCCCCTTACGTTATTTTCTTGGAATTGAAGTTGCGCGCTCAAAAAGGGGCATCTTTATTTTCCAAAGAAAATATGTACTAGATCTATTAGAGGATACAGACAAGTTGGGAGTGAAACCAATTGATTCACCCATTGAACCCAACCATCAGCTAGGAGACAGTCAGGGGGAGTGTTTGAAAGATGTAAAGAAGTTTCAGAGACTTGTAGGGAGACTCTTATATTTGTCTATGACCAGACTTGATATTGCCTATGTAGTGGGTGTTCTTAGCCAGTTCATGCATAATCCTAAGACAACTCACTTTGAAGCTGTAAAAAGAATCTTTAGATGCCTCAAGAAGTTCCCAAGAGCTGGTTTGCTTTTCTAGAAAGATGGGCATTTGAAAGTGGAGGTGTATATAGATGCTGATTGGGCAGGGGTAATCGATGACAGAAAATCTACCAGTGGGTATTGTACCTTTGTGGGAGGAAACCTAGTCACCTGGAGAAGTAAGAAGCAAAGTGTGGTGGCTAGATCCAGTGCTGAGGCAGAACACAGAGCCATGTCTCATGGTGTTGCTGAAATGATGTGGATAAAAAATTTGTTAGGAGAATTGGGTTTTGCAGTTAACAAACCTATGTCACCCTACTATGACAACAAGGCTTCTATCAACATTGCTGTTAACCTAGTCCTCCATGATAGAACAAAACATATTGAAGTGGACAAGCCTTTTATTAGAGAAAAACTTGTGAGCGGAGAAGTGTGCACTCCTTATGTTAGTTCAGAGGAACAACTTGCAGACATCTTCACCAAGGGCCTTCAACACGTGCGGCATAATAATTTGTGTGACAAACTGGGCATGATTGACATCCATGTCCCAACTTGAGGGGGAGTGTTGGAATGTTAACTTTATTTATTATGTTTGTATTCTGCTGAGTTAGAGTCTGTTTGGACAAATTAAAGCAGTTTTTTCTTTTGTTTTTTGTGCTGTAACTTAAGTAGGGGCATAAGGGTTCTTTCCCTTCTAATTATGGTTGCTCTATATATATTAATATAAGCTGGTGCCGCCAGCATTGTAGCGGCATTGTAGCAGACTCCAAATCTCTCTCTTCTCTCCTCTCCTCTCTCCTCTCTTCCTCTTCTCTTCTCCTACCTCTCTTCTCCTTTGTTCGGCTGTTAATAGTCTTCTATGCACATGACCAAACCATCATTGTCTATTTTCTCTCCTCTTATCACCTATTGGAGCTACTCCTAACAAATTGGGTCTCCTATGCCCCCCCCCCCACCAGGACTTTTTATATTTGATTTTAATAACGTTTTTGTGGCCGTCCATCCAAAGTTTGGGGGTCAAAAAAAAGAAAACACACTTTATTGCCTTAGGATTAAACTTGGATCTATGGGGACCTAGTATGTGAATAAAACATGTATGGCCAAAAACCCGTAGAGGAACAGAAAAAACATCATCTTTGGAGGACAACACACTGAATGGGGTCTTGAACCGAAGAACCAAAGAGGGGACTCTGTTAATGAGATAAATTATATGGATGGCATCCATGTAACAAGGGCGGAGTGATCAAGTGTCGATTGATGTAATAGAGCCTTCCTCATACTCTCTTAACTATGTCCAAGAGAGTATGCCTGTGATAGAGATATATCCTCCCAAGAACAGAGAAAATGACAGGAACACCCTGGTTGTACAACACATCATATATAAGAAAAAAATATAAATAAACAAAATAAAAAAGAATAAGCTGTAATCATTCAACAAGAAGGACATGAAGAAATCCATCTGATAGTGATGCCTGGTGGAGATTGTAGTATCTCAATGAGGTTCTTCTTTATGTCTTTGAGTGAAATACACTTGAATTCACTAATTACCTGCATCCAAGAGATAGGAAGAAATAGGACTTGGGCACTCAGTATCTCAAAAGATGCCTCTCTTTGTTGGCAAATATATGTCAGTTTGACCTCAAAAAAGTGCTCCACATAAGAAAAAAGAGAGTTTTTGCTACATGTTCGGCCCAAACTTACTGCATATGGTTTTCACCTTTTATTAGTAATGGGTAAATGCTTGAAGTCTCCATAACAATATATAGTGATTGTATCTGGTTGTAATTTTATTTGTTTTTTTTTTGTGATACTACTTGAAAAGGCTCTATACTTTATATTTATATTTCATTTAAGTATAAAAGATTTGCAAAAAGGATTTGGGTACGCTCCATAAAAGAAGAGAGCCTTTTACAATGGTAATGCAAAAAGAAAAAATTAAGTATACAACCAGATAGAATCAGTGCCTCGCCAGACATTAATTATGTTATTCATTACTTAATGGCCTTTGATATTCACAGAATTTCTCTAGTCCTTGTTTTTTTTTGTTCCATACTCTTAATCTTGTTTTTCATTCTCTTTTCTGCCTGCACTTCCACTTGCAAGTCTCTTGTTTTATGGCATCTGACTACTCTGTACTCATTAAATGTTAACACCTTGATTATCAGTAGTCAATGGAAGTCATGCTTGTTACTAATTTCTCCACTCTGTCAATATAGGGAAAGCGTAATCCTCGAGCAGCAGATCCATCTGTTGATAATCTTAAGAACCCACAATTTCTCATTCTATTGTCAGAGAATTTCATGGAGGCTCGTGCTGCTCTAAGTCGCCCTGGAATAACAAGTTTGACATCAAATCAAGGTCCAGTGAAGATGGATACAACTTCTGTTCCTCCAGTTTCAGGGCCTTCAGCTTCAATACCTTCAGGTTATTTTGCACATTGAATTTCGTTACACCATTCTTTCAGGTTGTTTTGCATGTTTAATTTGTTTACACCATTCTTCTTTGCCTTATCCTTGTAGAGAACACTCCTAACATTTCTAATCACCTTTTGTAATTAATTGTGCTAAATGTTTACCCGTTATTCTATTTTCAGCACTTAAATGGTATCTTGATTCTTTGCTTAAACAGAAATAAAATGTGTTAAAACATCAACTAATGTGGTCAGACTTGAGCTTGGAGAGCTTACTCTTTTTATGATGTTTCTTCCTTACCAAGTTCTGACTTAATGTATCAGCTCTTAAGAGTAGCATATTAGCTGTTTTTCCCTAATTAGGGACTACCTCCAAATTCTTTTCCCTGGATTATATTCTACCATTGATGTTATTTTCTTTTTCTTTAAAATCACTTGATCATGTTCATCCACTGAGCTGGAATTGAACATGTGAGTTCATGGTCGTGATCCACTGGAGTCTATAGCATCTCTATTGGTTCGGGTAGAGTTAACTAACACATCGTTTGTGGTGTAATCTCTACACCAGGCTGTAAGATTTGATGTTTTTATTTTAATAAAATTATTCTGTTATTATCAAAAAAGAAAAAAAAAACTAACACATTGAATATTTGATACAACTAAGTTTCTGCTTTAGTGGGTGTCAATTACTTGCTTACATTTTATCTCTTCATGTCACTTTCATGACTGATTAAAAAAACTCTATGAAAACAGTACATAGCTATCAGGGAAGTGAATCCAATATGAAAGGCAATACGAATTTCTGTCATACACTTTGCTTAATTGCAAATACAAATGGTTCTTGATTCCTTCTATGAGAATAAGTATAAACAGGCATTCACTTCCTTCTATTGGCACTCAAGGTGCACAAGAGTCAGCTAATGATTAAAAGCCATTTTAGAAAGGTTGAGAGGGTATTTATTACCAGTTATCGGTATTATGCCAACATATTTAGTTGTAATGGTTGACACATATCCACTCTTTTGCCCGGTTTAGTGCTTACAGTCTGTTCTTTTTCATTTGCAGTCAATGGTCCATTGATGACTCGTCAGCAAATTCCTGTTGGGAACATTCCTACTGCAACTGTAAAAGTGGTCAGCTTCATAAACCCTCTATTTTACTTTCATTGGAGTTGTCACTTCTGAAAAAAAAGCAGCTTTTATCACCATTTATCCAGTTTTATTAGTTTCATAACTACGCTACTCCTGGTGCTCTTGTTCAGGAGCCAACCACTGTCTCCTCCATGGTAACGGGACCTGGTTTTTCAAATATTCCACCTGTTTCACATGGGGCTACTCAAGCTGTTCCAAGCTTGCAAACTTCTTCACCAATTGCCTCTTCTCAAGAGATGATAGCAAATGCTGACAATGTGCAGGAATTCAAACCAATAGTGAATCCTGTCTCACAACCCTTGCGTCCTCCAGGTGCTGCAGCAAATGTGAACATTCTCAATAACCTCTCTCAGGTACGGGGAAGTTCTATTGGGCTGCAGACAGTGGGTGCAACTCCCATGGCAATGCATATGTCGAACATGATATCCAGTGGAATGGCATCATCTGTTTTGCCAGCTGCACAAACTGTATTTTCATCTGGACAATCAAGTATCACATCATTAACTGGATCAGGGTCATTAATGGGGACTGCACAAGTTACCCAAAACACAGCTATTGGTTCATTGACTTCAGCAGCTTCTAATATATCTGGAAACTCAAACCTAGGCATTTCACAACCATTGGCTAATATTCAAGGAGCTGTTAGCATGGGCCAACCAGTACCCACTGTTGGCCAAGGAAATCTTTCAGGAACACAAATAGGACAAAGTGGAATTGGTATGAATCAAAACATAATGACTGGACTTGGTCCATCAGGTATTTCATCTGGAGCTGGTACAATGATTCCTACTCCAGGAATGTCTCAACAAGTCCAGGGTGGGACACAATCCCTTGGTGTGAACAATGGTTCTGCAGCTAATGTGCAACAGACAGCAGGCACTCTCCAACCATCACAGTCCAGATATGTTAAACTCTGGGAGGTAATTCTGGTGCCTTTTGTTGCTTTATTGAAAGGGTTAATTGTAAAACTGTATATTTGAATGTTTAAATCTATTCATGGTTTAACATTATTCTTTTCAAGAATTTGTGTTATATGATGAAATACAATAAAGCTTGGTATCTTTTAGATTTTTTTTGGCAAAATGTCTTTCTGTTACTTTTATCTCTCTTTCTTTTTTAAATTTATTTATTGATTAAGGAGAAAAATATTTACTAAAATCAAAAGAGAGGTTTGAGGAGGTTTATAAGTAGAGGAGTAAAAACTAACATCTTCCTTTTTCTAAGCCTAACTAAGCATCCCTCTGGTTATCAGATCTAGGATTTCTGAACATAAGAGAAGTTTAAGAAACTAAATGAACAAGGTGTTTTGCCCAAAATTTCAGTTTTACTTTTTGAGTCATAATATCAGTCTGTTTTTCTGCTCATTGTAGATTCTGGAAACACTGACTTACTGGAATGACTTCTGTGGACATGCAGGGAGCCTTATCAGGACAAAGACAAGGACAACCTGTATTTATTACTAGACTTGAAGTATGTATTCATACATATGATCAAGATAATTTTACTTTCATATTATGTTGGAATGTTGTTCTCATCCTTACAGCATTAGTGATTGTTTGATATAGGAAATTACAAAATTGAATATGATTTGTAATCTTCTTCTCTAATTTATCTCAAAAACTGATACCTAACACATTTTCCTTTGTGACAGGGCTATAGGAATGTAACAGCATCTGAGACGTAAGTTGATGGGTTTCATCGCTTATAAAATCATCTATTTTAACTTTGTGCCATCTCTTTTATCAGTAGTCAATGAAAATTATTACTACCACTTAAAATTTTCTAAGACCATAAAAAAGCCCAGTCTTTAGGGGTGCAGGAGGGGGTTGGAGGACATTGAAACCAATAGAGAAGCTAGATAAATATATTACTAGAATCCACCTAACATTATCAAAGGAATATTCCTTGATCATACCCACAGTAAATGAATAAAATAAGCTATGGATATTTTGTGATGCAGTAGGCCTACAGAGAGTTTTTTTCCTTTCTGGTTTTCTTTTCTGTTTTTTCTAGAAGACTTCAATCAACCTAGTCATTTGGCAAGGTTGTATGCAGTGTTTCTTCTTGATCTTACTCTGTTTTACATAGAAGAACAGAGAAGATATTAGCTGACAGAGGTAGGAAGAGATAAGAGAGGAAGAAGACCTATCCCCTTAATGAACCAAGATCCATTTTGTATTTGTAGTTCAACCTTTTTTTTTTTTTTCCCCTTGCAGAAGTTTCCTTCCTAGGGAGGACAGGGTTATACTGCTTTTGGTACTATCAAAAGTAGTCCTTCAACCACATATGTTTGTAGCCCAAAATCTCTGTTTTCAAAACCAGGTTGCACTACCTGGAACTTTATATGTCTGTAGGTTAAAACATTTGTATGGGAAACTGTCCTTTGTCAATAATTCTAGACAGTTGATTAATAAATGGAAGCCCCTCCATATATTTCATATATTCAAGCGTCCTTTTCATCTATCATATCAACTGCATGAATTTTGTTAAAAATCTGCTAAATATTTCCTTACTACCCTAAGTCATGTACCCTTCCCTTTGTGATTTGCAATAAATTACTCTCTTCAAGCTACTGCATTCTTTAGGTCTTTATCTTACATGCTCTGTCAGTGTTGACTTCTGGTGCTATCTTTAAGTTCTCAAAATATCCTTCCTAAATATATCCATCCTGGTCTTGCTATTCATCCACTTCAACTTCCTGAAATGTCTTGACACTAATTTTATGGAAGTGTTATTGTGCATTGGCACCATGAAGTATGGTCAGTCTTAAATCTGTCCAGAAACAGTTTATCTGTATAAAAGCTATGAACAGCTGTTTATGTTTCTAGAGATAAAAAGTGCATTATTGTGTCATTGGAAATTTCTGGCACTGTATGTCTATAGTAGGCGATCAAGACTACAATCAGCCTTGAATCCTAATGGATTTCAGATTAGGAAAGGTAGAAGAAAAGTAAGGAAAAGAAGAAAAGAGAGGAGAAGAACAGGAGAACACAAAGGTTTGAAAGGAGGGACAGATTCTAAATTGATCTGCCGCCGCCACTCTTAGTATTTATAGGTTATGTTCAGTACATAGAGGAAATGACAGATCTGCCCTTAATACTTACATGACAAATAAAGCAAATAACAAACTGAAATAAATAACAACTGAAATAACACGCTGACCACCAACTAACACTAACATGACTGAAACAAATAATTGCACATACTGTCCTACGAACACAGTGGGGACCACAGCTGTGGGGCCCACATCAGTGTTCTCTACATCTATCATATTCTAAGATTGGTATTGAAGTCAAGTTTTGACGCAAGTTCTTTCTATTTCAGGCTTGCATCTGATTGGCCACCCACAATGCAAATAGTTCGTCTGATATCTCAGGATCATATGAACAACAAGTAATTTCTGATTGCTGTCCCTGTTTTTATTTTATTATAGACTTCTGTCTCATCCTGTTTATCTGTATTTATGTTTGGTTCTGATGAATAATATACCTTTTTAATTTGTTCTATTTTTTATTTAATATCAGGCAATATGTGGGAAAGGCAGATTTCTTAGTTTTCCGGGCACTGAATCAACATGGGTTTCTTGGACAACTTCAGGATAAGAAGCTTGTGAGTCGATGGAAGCTCAGCTTTCTTGTTTAGATGTATTTTGTCTGTCATATTTTTATCTGAAAGCTGATACAGTTCTTATTTTTTCCCTTTTTGTTTATTACTGTAGAACAGATGAGCATTACCTTTAACATAAAATATTAGCATCTGGTCAGTGTAGGAGATTAAAGCAATGTTGTAAGATTTGGACCAGACACAAAACTGGAATGCCTGCTGGGTCATGGGTCAAACAGTCTGACCACTGAGTCAACCCAGTGACCCATGACATCATATAAACAAGATATAAAATATTGTATAATGATACATCATATGTATATGTAGTGGCTAAATGGTTTGCTTGGTTTTTAATACAAGTGACCAGGGTTCAAGTCTTTTTAACTAGCATTTTATTAAAAAATGTATACATATTTGATAAATATAAATATTACAGAGACAGAAACTAAAACAAATGGCATACTTGATCAATGGTAGCATGTAGCACACAAAGAATAGGTCTCAGCTTCAAATCTTGTCATTGACATTTTGTAATTTCTCGATAAGTCATTGATCGGGGGGGGGGGGTTGTTTGAAATTGGCCAGATCATTGAAACCCAGATAGTTTTCAATGGGTCACCCGTTTTTTCAGAAATTTGAAAAACTAGGGTTTCATGCCTACTGGTTCCCAGTTTTCATGGCCCAACTGTCTGGTCCAGCTTGAGTCTTAACAACATTGGATGTAACTTTTAAGTTGAGAAAGTCCTTTATGATTTACAGTGTCATTTACTCATTTGATTAGTTGAATTCTCTCTAGAACATACTTTTTTTTTTGGAAAAGGTAAGGTAAAGTATTTTATTAAGTATCAAAAGTATAAATATCTGTACAAGAGGCTGTACACACAGTACTAGGACTCTTCCTCTTCCTCACACTCCAGTTCTTCCTGATTTTGATGCCAAAACATAGATCACCCTCCTGATGACTGGAAAACACCAAAAAATCCAACAACTGGACAATCTAAAGTAGATTGATCATCCCTTTATCTCATGCAATCGGCTGATCTAGGACTGCATGGAAAAACTCCAAGAAACCCTAAGTGAGCTCTGATACCAAGTAGAAAACTGCTGAAATAAAAAACTGTAAAAGAAAAAGAATATTTCTTGAAGAAGAAGGAAAGAGAGAAGGAAGAGAAGAGAAGAGATTTGAGAGAGAAAAGAGAGCAGTAATTCTGGCCACCCTCTTCACTATTATTTATAGTTTAAAATAATAGAGTACAAAGACCAATATGCCCTTATAGGGAGGCTAACCAATAGAACAGCATAAAACACTTAAAATAACTACTAAAAAAGGACCCAACAAGAGTGTTGTGGTCCCCACTTCCTATCTAAACAATAACTAATAAAAAACTACCACTACAAACTGCACAAAACTGTCTAAAACCTCAGCAGTGGTTACAACATTAATGATCAGAAGAGCATTCCATGTATGCACAGCTATCAAATGTTTTGGGCATGGTTTGTTCAATTTTGAAGAGTGATTTCATGGTTGATAATATAAATCCTTTCATTTTCTAATATCTGGCATTCTTTAATGCTTTCAGTGTGCAGTAATCCAACTGCCATCTCAGACGCTGCTCCTTTCAGTTTCTGACAAGGCCTGCCGCTTGATTGGAATGCTTTTCCCTGGGGTAAGTTAATAGCACAATCAATCTTGCGGAGTTACATGCATCTCTCAACTGAACAATATTTTCTGTGAACCAGGATATGGTTGTATTCAAGCCACAAATACCTAATCAGCAGCAACAGCAGCAGCAGCAACAATTACAGCAACAACAACTACAGCAACAGCAACAATTGCAGCAGCAGCAGCAACAACAACAACATCAGCAACAGTTGCAACAACATCCACAGCTTCTGCAGCTACAGCAGCAACAGCATCCTCCACAGCTGCAACAACAGCAACAGCATTTACAGCTACAGCAGCAGCAACATCAGCAGTTACAACAACAACAGCATCAGCAACTGCAACAACAGTCACAACAGCACCAATCACAGCAAATGGTTGGTGCAGGAATGACACAAGCATATGTTCAAGGCCCAAGTAGATCACAACTAATGTCTCAGGGACAAATATCATCTCAAGGCCCACCAAACATGCCTGGAGGAGGGTATTTAAATTAATTGAGCTGTGCTATGCCTCAAGAACACAGCTGTGGACAGACAAGAAATGGGAGTTACGGAGGAGCTGAAGGAGCTAATTTTTAAATTATTTCTAGGAAACAAATGTATCAGGTCAAAAACTAATCTCTCAGGTCAAAATCATTTCAGGCAAGCTGGCTGTAACCTTATTTTGTTAGAAATACACTTCATGGGTGCGAATGAAATAAATTATATCAGGAGTATCGGAGAAACAAATACATTGGAAAACTTTTACCAAAAAAAAAAAAGATTAGGAAACAATCACTCCTGTATCAAGTAACTAAAATTGTAGTGCACGATGTAATAAATAATTTAAGGGCTTGTAATTTTACAATGGATAGGGCATTGAACCGAATGGAATGGCGCACCCTGTCCCTATATAGTTGGGACAAGGCTTAGATGATGATGATCATGAAAGAATTGGGTGTAAAGAGACGAAAGTTTTTATCTTTTTGTTTTGGTTTCAGAGTCGGGTTTTGGGTAGGCGGTGGGCTATTGTCTAAAAGCTCTTGGATATGTATTTGCTGCCTAATTAAGTGCATGATGAATTTTACAGTCCGTGACTTATCCAGTGCTATTCCAAACTGTCACGATCCATTTGTCCTATGTTGGTAGTATGGGATGCTAATGTGATGCTGTTGTGGGGTATATATGTGCTTGGGTTCCCTCCTTCTAACAATTAGCTTTTAAGGGTGAGTTCTCCTAAGGCATATATCAAATGGTATCAGAGCCTACACTATGCCTTTCAGTTGCAATTGTGCGGCGGCACAGGTGGTGACGTCAGTATTGCAGTGTTTGGCCAAGACTAGGGGGACTATTGCAAAGCCAGCCTGTGTGAGTGCCGGGACTGCAGATCGTGGTGGAATGTTACAATCCATTAGTCCCACATCGGTAGTATGGAATGCCGTTCTGGGTTCCCTCCCTCTAACAGTTAGCTTTTAGGGGTGAGTTCTCCAAAGGCACATAACAAATGGTATTAGAGCCTACACTATGCCTCCCAGTTGCAATTGTGYGGCGCAAGTGGTGATGTTGGTATTGCAGTGTTCGGCTGGGACTAGGTAGACTAGTGCAAAGCCAGCCTGCATGGGTGGCGAGACTGTGGAAGCGTGGTGGGATGTTACAATCCATTTGTCCCATGTTGGTTGTATGGGATGCTAATGTGAGGTGTAGAATGGGATGCTGTTGTGGGGTGTATATGTGCTTGGGTTCCCTCCCTCTAACAGCTAGCTTTTAGGGATGAGTTCTCCCAAGACATATTAAATTCAAAGATGTATTTTTTCTCTAATCAGTAATAGATGATCAATTTCTATTAATAATACAATGGAAAATGTAGTCTTTAGGGCTTCCTTGGTACATCAAGATGATCCTTCAACCTATTGGGGCGGGCAGGGTTTTGGAAAGACTCAATGGACCATCTTGCAAATGAGTTTGCCAAAGTTTTGACATCTCCATGAACCCAATTAAACGTTTTGTTCAACTGGTTTTGCAAGTTTAACTGTGCTAACTTTTTCCTGGCACCTTGTAGCTTCCCCAATCTGAATTTAAACTAATACAATTCAAAGGTGGAGGGACCATCCCCCACCCACCCAATTGGACTGATCTTCTGGAAGAAGAGGAAGTAACATGATTTCATCCTTGGATTATGCCATCAGTGCCAACATTCCATGAAGTGGCTGTGAAGCTTAAACAAACACTCAAACAACTATGGCGATGTAGGCATATAGATGTATAATTTGTACTAGACAAAGGCCATCGTTTCAGAGGAAACACCAGTACCAGTAGTGCTAACTGCTAAATGAACAAGAAGTAGAATCACAATCAAGATAAGATTGAAATTGAATATTTTGCTTTCAGCATGCCGCGGTAAAATATATACGAAGTTACAAACTATATTCTTGTGCTTCTTCGGTATCTTTCTTTCAGGTAAGAATATACAACTACCTTTATCAGTACAACTTTCTAATACAACTATACAAGTATGTCCTGCGTATAAAGACCTTAAAAGGAATGTTATTCTAACCTATTTACCTCTCCTAAAAGAAATAAATAGATATACAACTAAGAACCTATTTAACTAATTACACTGAGGTTAAACTAAAGACAATGATATATTAAGTTTGTTATAACTTACAACAACTCAATTGGTATACAATCATCAGAATATAAACGTACAATAAATTCAACTTTTGAAGCACCAGGAGGGACATCTGCCAGGGGTTTAATACTCATTAGTTTTGCACTTTCCACCTATTCGGGTAGTCTATCACATCTTTTTTCCTTCAACATGACAGCCTTCTTAGTATTCTGCTACTTAGATGCTGTTGAGGCGGGACATAACGTAGGCCAAGAGTTCTTCTCGGTGAGAGAATGTGAAATCCAAGTGGGCATATTCGAACTCGTTGAATGAAACCATCACACCTGAATTTTTCATCAGCTTGTAATGTTTCCTCACCATGGATGACGGGATCACCTTATCCTTTCTCCCAGCAACCAGATTGACAGGCATGTCTATAAGATCATAGTACTTGCCTAAGTCCAAGGGCTCAACTGATCCATATACTTCCATGTTGGCAGCTGTGTTACCATAATCATACATTATAAACTTCCCTGCACGCTTCATCTGTGCCAAGTGAAGAGCAACATGAAAGGATACTCCAGGCATGTCATATATGTTGTAGTGAGGCAATCCTAACACCCCCACCCAATTTGAGCTGTCACCACCCACGACATAACTCATAAGGGTCTGAACCAGACCTCCCAAGGCAGGGTAGTTGTTGAAGTCCTTGGCCAACTTGTTCAGCAGCATTCGGAAAAATCTTGTTGGTATGTATATTCCTGGCATAAGTGGTGCCAGTATTGGAGACAGCATAAGAAACAGGTGTTGTATTATCGTGAATACTATGGTAGAGTGGTCATGGAAGCCAGCAGGTGATAACTGTATCAACCTTGATAGTCTATGGGGCTTTTCTTCAATCCTACGTGTTATTACATACATCAATATGGTTGCTCCTCCCAAGCTGTGGCAAATTGCACAAAGTTTGTAAGGCTGATCATGACTGGTTTTTTCTTCAATATCAGATTGGCTGCTCTTCAGTTCAGAGGTTTTCACTTCATGAATCTTCTCTATCATTGCAGGTATATCTTGAATTCCATGCTCACTTATGGAGTATCTCCAGTACCTGCAAGATGAACAACTTATTGGAATGATATTTATTTAATATCAATTATAAACAACAATTATGCCACACAAGCAATGATATTCCTATATTCCTATTTACTTCATATTTCGACTTTACTGCTGTGACCAATTGAAGAGAACTGTATCTTATTGTTGCTGAAATATGTATACCAATCAACAGAGACTAGACTTACTGTCGAGAGGAAATGTTCTTGTCAACGTGTTCCCTAGATACCAAACCACGAAAGTTCCCAAGGAAGACATCATAACCTGCAAAAGAGGAGAAAATTTTAGTCCATAGTTTGATCTTAACAATAAAATATTTTGAAAATCATGAATTTATCTTTAGAGCATACCTTGATCGAAGGCTGCAAATGCAGGAGAACCAACAACTCCATTGGATACCCATCTGAAGATGAGATCAAGACAACTCATAAGTAACAATGATGGGCTAATGGCACTAATTGTAAAAATAAGAATCATGAAGATGTACTTTATGCTAGAATAATTTTTAAAGTCTTCTGTAACCTACTTTTAGTGCATTTTTATCAACATTTCCCTTTCACGAGAAAAATCATTTAATGCTTTCTTTAACATGTTCAATTGCCAATGCAACAAAATATGTCAAGCCTATCTAACAAGAAGACTGCATTTTGTCCATGTAAGATCATGTATTGTATTCAACTGCCTGATACATTCCTGAACTATTTTGAGAAAATTTAATTGATCACATAATTCTATTATTTCTGTGAACTAGTTACATAAGTTGTATTTAAACAGGATTACCCCATCCACATCCCTCATATTCAACTGTTGGCCACATTTTCTTATTTCTGCATGTATCCATGTATGACCATGTCCAACAAATTATTATTATGTGCAATTTTGTGATTTTCTTAGAATACATGTATCTTTTTGTCTAAATTTTCTATCATGTATTTTTAGTTTGTCTGTTTATGCCATTAAATGGAACGTAGTAGAGTGATAGATAGGATGAACTATCTTTTCTACCATGTAAATGCATTATTTTCATTTAAAGTGAGGATATTCTGGAAAAATATCCAGACTGTATCCCATACCAACGTCTATTTGTATCCTGTGAACAGTGGTATTCTCGCTATCTACAGGTACCCAGGCATCATATCTAAACAATAGCAAATCACAAAAGCCTAGAATCCCAACTTAAGATCCTGCCACCTCCGAATGACAGATCTGAGAGGACAGGGTAACTCACCCCATGGAAGAATCCAGTATCCCATGTTGCAGAAACACCACCTTTCGAGAGTCACGCCTGCAAAATGAAATTGCAGGTGTCAGGCATCTATTTACTGGTTCAAATCCACTACAGAAACACCTCAGTAAACCTAAAAAAGAAAAAGATTGATTTGTACCTTCGAATCCTTTCCAAAAGAAGGACATATCCATCAGAAGTAACCACACGAATAGCTTCATATGGGTAACTGAGAAGGCAGGTCCAAATTAGAAAATTTGGTCAGGGAAACAAAAACAGATTGTCTATGATATTAAATAGGACATCCAGAAAAAAAGACATGAAATCTAAAAGTGATATTTCCTTTTCAAACCACTCTCAGACACTTCTTTACATTATGAGATTCAACCTAATTACAAATAGCCTCTATTGAAAGGTAAATTACATCTTGGACTGACTCAAAAAGGTTCTATACATTTAACCAAATAGGCCTTACCCAAACTCCGTTATAACATCTTGGCATGTCCGGGCATCTGTGTTTAGAGACTGATAAAGAGTGTTTTTCCTTTCAGTAGGAGTGGGGTCATTTTCCCCAAGTGTAGATGTTGGAACAGATGTATCTGAACCACAAGAAGATACTTGTTTGATACTGCTGTTGAGAGAAGAAAACCACTTAGATAAAATTCTGAAAGCTTCTGATGGGGAAAGAAGACAGAGTGCTGCCTTATGAAATATGTCAAAGATGGCCTCTATGAATATTTCAATTGCTAGCTGGAGGTCCTGGTGACAGTAACATCAAGCATGAGAAAGGGAAAAAAATAATTCCATGAAATAAAAAGGAATAAAACTAGAAGCATAAC